TTTTTTTTTTTGTCACGTAAACTGCGCGTTAACCGGGAACATTTTTGCAGATCAGTTTAGTTTTCCACTGGCGTTTTGAGATAGCTCTGTCTCGCTTCAAACATTGTACTCTTTTTCTTCCAAGCATAGATTTCTTGAAGAAAATGAGAGCGTCCCCTTGTTAAGGGAAAGTTTTATTTAAAGCACTCCTCTAATGTAAGCTCCCAGTTTGCAAGAATTCCATTTTATAACAGGCTTTCCTAAGCAGGAGAATACTACTGCTCGCGGAGTGTATACAACTTTTTCCACGATTTAGTCATAAACTTCTAGCATTTAGAGCGCTGTTGAAATAAATTCTTAAAAAGCCATGTTCAGTAATAGTGAAAATGAATTCCAGTTCCCTGGTTGTGATAAGACTTACACAAGACTAGAGAACTTGAAAACCCATTTACGAACACATACAGGAGAAAAGCCATTCCAATGCAAGTACCCTGGATGCATCAAAGCATTTACGAACGCATCTGACTGTGCGAAACATCAGACACGTACTCATTCACAAGCAGTATGTTTAAGCTTCTTAAAAAAGAATTTCGTTTGGCAGTGTTGAAATTTACGTCTCTTCAGTTCCTCTCCACTACTCTCTTTGCTCAAAAATTTTTTCTTCAGAAACCGTACCGGTGTTGCGTTGATGGTTGTAACAAAGCTTACACTGACCCGTCATCGCTACGGAAACATATAAAGCGCCATCATAGTGATGACACTTATGAGAATTTGAAAAAAAACAAAGTTCTATATCGCAGCAGAATGAATATGATTCAAGAGGAAAGCAATATTACAGTGCCGCCAGCACCCTCGTGTTTAATTCAGAAACCGGCGCTGAACGAGATCTCAAACTTTCCCCCTAACAGTTGGTCGGCTCTTTTTGTTACTTATTTGTAATCATTTTTACCTTTCGCATCGCAAATTGGTATCCGCCGATTATTAACAGTGAAATATAAAAAGGATTACTTCAGGGCATCCAACAGTAACTCTCCTTGCACTTGTAACAACCTTTGTGCGGAGAATTGCTCTACCTATGATGCTTACCCACCAACGTGTTCAAGCCATCAGGCACCCTTCTTACAACCGAATTACTCAATGCCAGCTTACCAAGGCCCAGTGGTCAACGCAGGACCAGAAAATTATGAAATGCCAGCGGCGAGCGAAGGAACTGTCCCAAATTGGCCTGCACCTAACAACTATTACTGTCCTTCGACTCCAAGTGAAACTTACCCTTTGAATCCTCAGAATCAGTACTACGAGCAACAGTATGGTAACCAAGTGAATCAATCTTACGGATATTACTGTTGAGTTGTATTTTCATTCCGCCATATACATTTTCCACAAACTACTTCCGGTGCTCTACTACTTGTACATTCATTTTATTTTATTTTGAACAGACTGATTTTTTTACCTGCAGCTTTTTTTTACCGAGCACAAATCTTTTTTTTTTCTTTGCCCAATATAGAGCCTTATCTACGTCTTGCATATTTTAAGTTATACTTTTTAAAGCTACACAACAAAAACACGGGACTAGGCAGAAAATTAGGAAAACAGTAAGCTGCAAGTAAAATATTATACAACCAACAAAGATAAAAACGATTAGATCTAATACAGTGAATTTCATTGGGAAAAGTAACTCTATCACAATAATTGACACTTTCATACGAAAATACTTGCTCATAATCACAGCGACAATCATGCAAGATGAAACTATTTGCTTAAATACTAAACCTAAATATTATTATCACAAGTTCACAGGATAAAACATTGACCACAAGAGTTATTGATGAAGTACACAAATGATATCGCGAATTGGCAATGTGGTCAAGAAGTGGGTAAAGAATCTTCAAAATTACTGCCCAGAAATATTTTTGAAAAAATATCTGAGCAAACTTCTTGAAGTGGCAAAAAGAAATAAATCAAGAGTTTGAATAATGAATTGGAATGTCTTTTTCAATAATGCCGAAATAAAGACCCATTAATTATAACAACATCGGTACGAAGTTATTTTTGAGTCATCAGGGTCCTCAATAAGCTCACGGTATCAGAGTACCGGCATCTTAAAAAACCCGCATTTAAAAATCTACAAAAACTAAGTAACAACTAACGACGGCAGATATGTACTACACATCTCCGAGCTTACTGGTACTGCTTTGAGGTACCTGGTGAACCAGTTGAATGACCGTCTTTCCGATCTACAATGTTTTGAAAGCATGAACTTGAAGGAACAACTGGGACTAAAAATTATATGAACAATTAATATTAATGAAGGAAGGGACAGATTGGTAAGAGTTACCGTAATGCTGGTGACTTTGAACACTCATTTGACTGAATCGATTAGTAAGTGGAACCAGAGACTTCACAGGACTACGACGAGGTGTGCTAGAATGACGCACCTGCAAAAATAATTAGCAAAACAAAGCCTACGACAATGAAATGTCATCTTATCACAAATTTTATATTACGCATAATAACTTCAGGTACTTACTTCGGAGTTAGGAGTATTCTGCCAAGCCATTTGGACCTCATCGTAACGCTGCTGTCCGGTGCTGGGCGGTGCTGCAACAGCCTGAGGAATAGCTTGTGTTACTGGAGCCAAAACGGCTACCGACTGACCACTAGCATCAAACTAAAATTTGATATCAAACCCATTCCAGTCTGTTTAGATTGAGAGCCGATTAAGATTCCTTTTAGACCGTACGAGTTCGCTTGCATTACATAAAACACGTTTAAATAAATTATCAAGAGCTCCACAAGCAGCTTGCCTGCTGGTAATTGTTCGGTGCGTAGTAATAAGTATGGGCCGTCATTTGGGAATAATGGGTCATATCCGTTGCTGGCGGGATTTGCGTGTAATAGGCTGTTCCTTGTGGAACTACTGTTCCACGCTGCGCAACACTCGACGGTGTTATCTGTCAGAAATTCCGATTGAAAAATATAATGTAGCAGTCTACTGGATGTAACAAATACAGTATATAATGACTTAGTATGAAAATGCACAATAAACCAATTGACTGTGATTTCCAGAAAATACGCAATTACTAAACAATTCAAATCCAAAACTTTACCGGAGTTAATGGCTGACTCATTTGAGTAAACTGCTGAACCCCATTAGGAGTAGTGCAATATTGAGCCATCGGCTGCGCAAAAGTTACTGGTACTGAGCCCGTTGCTGTCATTACCTGCTGTTGTGATGTTGCATTTTCTCCACTCGGTGAGCTCTGAGGAGTACCAGTGCTCGGAAGCGGGGCGACTGCAGTAACTTGATTGTTAAAAGTGCCACCTTGCTGAGGTTGCTGAATTTTCACGTCAGTACTTTCCTGAAACTGCCTTTTCAAAAAAAAAAAAAAAA